GCTTCGAGAAGCAGGAGTTTTAATGTAAACCCTCATCTCTCCAAATGTAGTACGAACGTGCCCTTTCTGTCCCCCTGTCCCCGCCCAGACTAATCCAGTGAAGAGCAGCCTCACCTTTGGCTTCCCGCCAGGATTTTATGATCAGCTGCAATCAGCAGAGAAACATGTATTTTAAGAACCAAATCTAAGCGTCTACTTTCCATATTTGTTACTTCACAGAACCATGTCAAATGAGTTGAATCGATGACTTTATATCGACAGCTACAAAGACAAACTCCTGCCAGTTAGCCACAGTGCTGTTACCCTGAAGGATCTTTAGGTGATACAGCCTTAGTGTGAATTCATATGCTCCCCGCTGTTGCATGGTATCCTTAAACTGGGTCACATCCAGGTTACACTGCCCAACAGCTCACTTGTTGGTCAAAATAACATTACTGTCGTGTTATTCCATCTCACTGGAGCGGTGGCAAAAGAGGTCAGTCACATTAGACGCTACGGTAAACACAACTTTTCACCACATATAGCAATCTTCATATGATATCCAATCACTCTGAGGTACATTGTCATACGGAACACCTGATTCTGGTGCTTGTGTACGAAATAAATTGAGCATTTGTGGGAAGGGTAGACAGGATTTGTGGTCATGAATGAATAACGAGGGCCTCGGGGAAAAAGGGAAAAAAAAACACACACACGTGCCTTTTTCTCCCCAGAGAAATTGCAGGTTCGATTCCGCCGCTGCTACATCTAATCCTCAATCACAGCAAATGATTTCATTAGTGTGCATCGCTGATTCACCAGCCCATATTCATGAGCGAGTAGGGCGGCACAAAGGGAGAGGGGGGCTAAGATTAGGCAGCGAAATTGGAAATGCCCCAAACTGAATCTGAGAATACTGCTTTACAGAAACAACCATGAGTTTTGGAAATGGCACAGGGGTGCCATGTGGAGCTCCACCAAAGCTCCGTGATGGGGGTGGTTGCACTGAAGCAACTTACAGACCTGCTGGCAGCTTCACAACACATCTAGCTAGGGCCAACAGCAGGGCCGGAGCCAGGCCTGGCCTCAGGCAGAGGAAAAGATTAATAACTTCTACCAGACATTATGAATTCATATTAATTTTCCTTTTTTTTTAAAACCCCAAAACACTCAGTCTCATTCTTCAGACTAGGTAGCCCTGACCTAGATTAGACTCACTTAAAATAGAGCAACCAATTTTTACCAATGCAAGATATTAAAATGAAACAGTAATACCTTACAGGATCAAAACACAGACATGTCAGATGCCTCTGCACTACTTCCTTTTAGCTGTTTTCTGAACAGACTAGCTTGGAGCAATTGGACACAGCGCCGGCAGCTATTGTGATCCTTCAGCTGCCCTTCATTGCTATTTCCTCTGTTGCTCCCATATAGCCGTTTTCTCCACACTGTGAGATGGGTGACACAGGGAGACATCATGGAAATAGTTCCCAGCGTGAGTGAGTGAGTCACAGTTGTTTTTCTTTATTCGCTTCTCTCAAAAGACACAAAGTTTCAAAGCCCCCTTATCTAATTCCCAGCTGATTCCTCTAAAAAACAGTCTCTATACTACATTACGCTACATACGAGGCTGCAGCAAATAGTCTGGGCAGATTGGAATCAGCAAATCCCCTTGAAGAATAAACATTGCTGTCAGGTGGAAATCTTGTTACTCCAATTTGAGTTATTTTCATGTCTTTACTCGGATTGAGGGATTACATGGTCTTCTGTGAGTTGAGGAAATTGTTCTGAAACCCCTTTTCATTTACATTACATCATTTCAAAGCCCCATGGTCATCAATCAAAAAGCGCTTTTCTTAAATTTCATAAAAAACTGTCAGTTTTCTTGCATAAAAAGTCCAAGACGGAGATTTTGCTAAAATGTCGAGCCAGATGAAACAGACAGGACGTCATGCAGATTGTGTCAGCTCTCTAACTGACAGTGACAGATTCAGCTGATACACTGTGTGCCCACCCAACCCTCCCCTAAACCACTTATCTGTGATAATGGACCAGACTAAGTTCAGGCCAACTAATCAATCCCTGTCCAATGTCTATCTCCCCGTAGGCTATGACCTGTGCCTCCCTGTCCCACCCTCCTCCGACGGCGTCCAGCCCCAGCCATCGACCCTGCCGGGCAGCGTGGTAAACACACACACACACACCCACACCCACACTAGCTGCCAGCTACATAGCAAACGCTCAGAGCTTTCCCTCATATCCATCCAATCAATACCACACTGACAAACATCCACTAGCACTCAGGTACAATCATAAGGATGGGGGCGACATGCCACAAGTCCTCTGAGAAACAGATACCCCATCAGCATGAGTACCCCATAGGGTGCCTCTCCACCTGTCTACCCCATGGATAAAAGTCCGACTACATGATTCCCTCAGTGCATCAATGTCTCCTCGCATCTACACTTTTGTCTCGCAGGCTGGCTTCAAACTGTTCCCCAGCTCCACGTCTAATAAGGTCATATTGTGAGGGGAAAAAAGGGGACTTTTTTTCCTGATATGCGAGGCACAGCAGTCTGTCTGCTTTAGTGCAGTGAGAGGCTAGCAGGTACAGGAAGACCAGCGCCTACACTGTGTGCAGACAATTAGTATTCCAGAGGTGAAAGAGTTCTATGTGTTTACCTACTGTCATTTCTGTTGCAGAGCTCTGTCTCTCCCACCCCTTTGCCCCTCTGGATGGTGGTCTAAAGAGTGCGGGGCTTCCTACAGCGAGGCGCAAGGCCAACATAAATGTTTCAGAGCCTTTCCAACAGCTGTTTACTGCGGATGATGTTAAATGTGAGAGAGGTGAGCGAAACACTGCTCTCACCATTAGTAACGCCTGCTCCGTCAGTGAAGAGGACCATGAAAAGGTCATGTGTATCCACATAAACGCTATGATCCATTATTGATTTCACTTATGTAATCTAATTCAGGAGTATTTCTGTAATGATAAGCTAATCATAGAGTTCTTGCTGTGTCCACTTCCCCCAACTCTGCCTCGTCTGTTCTATGTCAGTTGTTGTTATCCTACGCTTCACATGACTAGTAACACAGATCATGCTTGGACACGCTTTAGTCAGCCATTGGTTTTGTGTGCACTTGTAAAATGTGGCAATTTTTGATTGAAAGACAACAAATGAATCTATATGTTTACTATTGTTATCAATGATTGTTGCAATATCTAACACTACTGTGGACTATTTTTTCTGGAATGATCTTCACATAGTAACGTCTACATTTGACCAGTTATCCAAACAAAAATAAGAAAATGTATCATCAAATAAACAATGCACCGCTAGAGCCCTGAAACACCAAGCCGAATGTTGGGACGTCATTGAGTGTCTGTCATCCTAGTTTTGGCGGTGTGTCCTGCACCACTGGCTTTAGTTGGGCCTTGTTGGCTTTTTTTCGGCCAATACAGCATGTTGAATCAGAGTGAATTCCGTTGACTGGCACAACTAAAGTCAAAGAGGCATGGCATCAAAACAAACTTGTTATATTAGGTAAGATTTTTTAAGCCATTGAGCTCTTTTGCAGAAACGGTTCATCCAACTTGGGGTCATGTTGTTAATGTGCTCATTAGCATCTTCCAGTTTCACTTTTTTAAAGACGAATCTAGACTACCATGGCCTGCTGGTATGAAGAGTTATTTCCTCTCATGCAGGCACAGAATGTATGTGGTAGTTAGTCGTGGGCTGTAGTCAGGTGAAACTTTCTGGCTGAGACACAGGCAGCGTGAGGCGACGTAACAGTCGGCCTTCATAGCCACTAGTTCTTTGACATCACTTTGGTGTGTCTGGGCCTTAAAATGTAACACATAATCAATGCCGTTGCTTAAAACACAATTGCAGGGCTCGAAGTTCGACCCTTTCCTATACGCTGATGATGGAAGACTGTTGTTATTTAATGGCAGTGTTGACCCAATATCTGACAAGGCAGTTGATATAAATAGTGATGTACATGTGTAGCCTGTGCATGTAGAAAAAGTTGCTTGTGATAGAAGACTAAACAGTTATTCAAAACTAATGAAAAATAAAGATTGTAAAAGTTGTATTAATATCCCACATGTACCGAGAGTTACAGTGCATGTGTTCATGTCTTCAACACAAGTCATACATTAAATCACTAATCATAAAAGTGGTAAGAACTGCTGGCTATATAAACAGGCCTAGCTGATCTGATGGCAATAAGAAAGTGGAAAATCAATCAGTCATAGATTAGCTTACTGCAAATTCAGTCAAGGATGTTTATAACAACATTAAATGCTGTGGGTAAAAAAAAGAAGAGAGGATTATTGAATATTTCTTATTTTTTGCCCGGAGAAGTAATTGTGTGCTCTGGTTGTTGTGTGCATGTCTGTAAATGTGCATACGTGCAGCTGTGTGTCACGTCATGTGTATTGCTATATCTTATTACAGGGACCTCTGGGAACTGTAATGAGGGGAGAGCGTGGTCACTGTGCACCTCTGTGTGTGAGTCCATGATAGCTTGCGAGGGTCAAGGGATTACAGACATGTCTTGTTAAATTAGGCTGCTGTGGCTGAGTGCTGTGACTGAGTTAGGGACTCAGCTGTCTGAGTGGAACCCGGGTCTGTCTTGGTGATGAGCTACAGACAAACATGTAGAAACATATCACTGCTGCTCTCATTTGGGAGTACAGCGATACCTTTCTCCGACTGTGTATTCAGTTCTCTTGATCACTGTGAGGCTCTCTGACAGTGTCACCTGATTCTGAATGAATACATGGTAAAACTATTCCCATCTTTGAAGCTCATCGAGAGAATGCCAAGAGTGTGCAAAGCAGTAATCAGAGCAAAGGGTGGCTATTTTGAAGAAACTAGAATATAAAACATGTTTTCAGTTATTTCACCTTTTTTTGTTAAGTACATAACTCCACATGTGTTCATTCATAGTTTTGATGCCTTCAGTGAGAATCTACAATGTAAATAGTCATGAAAATAAAGAAAACGCATTGAATGAGAAGGTGTGTCCAAACTTTTGGCCTGTACTGTATATATATAGACATTATATGAATTCCGAGATACTGGCAGCAATGCAATCAAAAGTGAAGTCCAGATCTTTCAATAGCTGGTACATTTTTAAGCAGGGTTCCCACACTTTTTTACCAATGAATTTCCAAAACTTTTCCGTAATATTTTACCCCATTTCCCATGACTTTCTGTATTTGGTTTAAAATGGGTAGGCCTATATAGCAATACATCCATACATTATTACACATGCACCTCCGAGGCATTTGCGGATAAGCAAATAGCTAGCACTTGCCCATTGCCAGCACACCAGACCAACCCAGACAGGTACTTAAAGGTAAAATGTCAAGCCACACACCTTTTTGAGGGATAGAAACCCGCAGATCCTGTAGTTGTCAACGCAGTTTTATCACTTTATTGTTAAAAAAATGTTTGTTCTATGGACATGCCGAATGACTTTTGCAACTTTGCCTGAACCTGAGCGTCACCTTAACAAATGAAGGTTGATTGCTGCCATGTCCAATCAGTCTTTCCCCTGTTCAAGTGGATCAATGACCCAACATCAGGATATTTATATATATTTGATTGAATCACCAGGTATTGTTCAAGCTGTTCATACCTAACTGTTTGATCTACAGGCTGAGATTTAGTTGGAGACATCAGTCTGATGCTTCTGGTCTTGTTATTGGTCTGAAAAAGGGGGCGTGGCCTTAGCGAGGCAATGCCGGTCTGGTCTATATGTATCATATGATACTAGTGAAATTTAAATGGTCATGCAGTGCAGCAAAAAAAAATTAAATTGGTAATAACTGGACCATACTTGTAATGTTAGACATGTTTTGGGATTTTTATGAACATATTTTAAAAACAATTTATATCTAAAACTATTTTCAGGCCTGGAAAACAGATTTTCTAATGTCATAGCTTTTCCAGGAATTTCATGACCATGGGAACCCTGTAAAATGTTCACTGGGACAAAACTCAAACTAATGGTTGTCAAAGTTCTCCCTGCAACTTAATGCAAGCAATTTCCCACAGACTTACAGAAGCGGCGCAGCAGAATGACAAAAAGTTATTGAGACCATGCAGTAAACAGTGAGCTGTTTCAGGCAACTTACTGAGTCATATATCCAGATTGCCTCACAACAATTGAGTTGGTTCTGTGTCTTGCTAAAGGACACTTTGGCAGGAGAAATGGCTGCTGATGAAAACGTCTGTCGAAGATATTTAACCAATGGCCTTTTTAGTTACAGAACAGTCTCTTAAGCCCTAGGGCTACTGTGCCTTCAGTGCATCCACCATAGCTACAGTACTTGCTTTTAGCAACACCAAATGTACATACATTCAACATCTCAAACTCAGCACTGACCCTAAATGAGGAAACAGGTCTATGTTGATCACATAGCAGCTACAGTAAAATAAATAAAGCACAAATCAAATATCAAGTGGCATATTTCTGTTTCCAGCACTTTTCGGATATTTCAGCTTGTGTACTGTATGTACTGCATTTGCTCAATGACTGAAAGGCTAGATTTGGGGCTACTGTTATAGTTTTAAACTCTCTGAGTGCTACACAATGCAACACACAAGCTGTGGTTAATGGAAGTCCTAGTTTTTGTGTGTGAAAGGCAAACATCCTTTTGATAAGTCCATGGAAAAGTCTTTCCTTGCATCCGACTGTTCCACTGAATCACACACTTATTCTCAGTAACACTCACACATTAACAGTTGCACACAGTCAGGAAGTAAAACAACACATGCTTTCTACACACATTAGCGGCATGAGCTTGGAAGACAAAGTGAGCTTGTTAGAACATGGTCGAGGACTCTGCAGAAAGCCAGTCGCTCACATACTGTTATGTCTCAATATTGAGATGGAGGGTAGTTCGCTGAACCCCTCTCCCCCTGCTTCAAAAAACAGTATTATTACGATAAAGTGGTATAAAATAAGGATTGACGGGCCGAGAGGAGGTGAATTATTACCCCGCAGGAAAAGTCTTTTTGGTTTCCTAAAATCTCTTCTCCATCTCTCATTAGGTTTTGAAAAGTTTATACAGAGGATAAATAAGTACAATCTAATAGATACATTTATGGATCAACAATATGTGATCCTGTATGAGTTGGTACAAGAGTCAGCCTATCTCGAAGCATGTTGTTTTAGCTAAAAATGTAGATAATTTTTTGAAACACACAAAAAGCAATTTATACATGCAGGTATTAGTGCATAGGTTCCTGCAGAAAAAGAATATTATTGAGTAGTCCATTGAATTGTCTTCCCAAACATCACCAGATGAATTTGGCATAGTTATAGAAATAAAGAAAATGACTGTCCTTAAAATGGAGATCTTTTTCACACCCTCCTAGTCCCTTGATTAACTTATCATTTAAATATATATCTATCTATGTACAGTATGTATGAATAAAAAAGAGGACAAAGCATAAAACAAATATAGAGTATTCTAGAGCTCCGAGTTACCCGGTAAAGTGTCTTTTAAATCACAGTAATTTTTAAGATCTTGGTAAAATGAGAGGTGGAACACAGTGAAGTCTGAAGACAGAAAGAAAACAACGCCACACACTGAGATAGTTTGTGTGTGTTTTAGTTTGGAGGAGCACAGGAGGGTGTGATTAATCCTCACAAATTGGAAGGGAGTTTGGAGCGGACAGTTTGAGGTTCTAGATCTGACGAGTAGGCAGCAGAGGCCCTCCGTAGAGGCAAGGCCGGGGAGGCCCCAGGGGACTGAGTCTGGCGAGGGTGCCCCGGAGACATCTGGATTGGAGGAGTCATGCTCCCTGGCACTGAGCTACAGGGTTTGGGCACAAGAGTGGGTGAAGAAAAGGGTGAGGGGAAATATCCAGTTTCCACAGAGGGGTGAGCTGTATGGTGGCCTACGGCCTGGGGCAGAGATGGGTGCGAGCTGGATAAAAGCTTTAGGTCCTAGGAAAAGCAGCCCAGCGGAGAATCTCTCCCAGTTGTGTGTGGCTGGCTGGGAAGCTGTGAAGGGAGAGAAGACTGAGGCATGAGCAGAGAACTGTGGGATCCTGTGGCACTCGAGGGGTCGCTGTATTGAAAAGTCCTGCCCGCCACTGGGCTTTGGATGGTAGGGCTGGGCGCCACTGGGGTAAGGCAGGGGGAGGCGTTTGCTGAACCATACTGGGCCAAGGAGGCCAGGGCAGACCTCTCCAGGGACATCTGGTGAGGCAGTAAGCCAGACTGGAGGCCTGCCAGGCTAAAATGGCTGAGGGAAGATGGGGAGCCCTCAGCGGGCTGCTGGCTGTGCTGTCGTCTGCTAGAGGATGGGGAGCCATGTGGAGGGGAATGGAAGAGGTTTAAGCCACTGGTAGTCCTGCCTCCCCCAGCAAACTGCTGCAAAGGAGCCACCTGAGGAGGTTTAGGAGGTGGCTGGCTATGGAGAAGCAGACCAGGCATTGGGCTTGATGAGCCACTAGATATAGGACTCTGACAACGGGAGGAACTAAGAAGTCCAGCTGTAATTCCAGCAGAAGCCCCTCCTACAGGACATGCTGTAGACCCTCCTATATGGCTCCCTACTGCCCCTCCTGATGATCGGCCAATATGTCCTCCTATCACCCCTCCCCCTGGCCCACTTGAACCTCCTCCTATATGGCTAGTTGTTGATCCACTAGAAACCCTTCCCAACAATCCTCCAGAACCAGAATCACCAGAACCCCCTCCAAGTGATCCCCCAGAGGCTGTTGGTCCTCCAGAAACCACTCCACATGAGCCACCAGAAGGCTTACCTACTGATCCTCCAGTGGTCGTCACTACTAGTGACTCTCCAGAAGCCCCTCCAAATGATCCCCCAGAGGCTCTTTTTATTGACCCTCTAGAAGTCCCTCCCATTGATCTCCTGGCTGCATCTCCTATTGTCCCACAGGTAAAGCCTCCCATTGATCCACCTGATGCCCCACCTGCTAACCTACCACAAGCACCACCCACTGATCCTTCAGATATTCCTCCTATAGATTCCCCTGAGATCTCTACCACTGATCCACCTGAAGTTCCTCCCAACCCAAAGTGCCCCCCAGGCAGTGACCCTTTTGTTCCAGTTGTAAAGTCCTCTCCAACCCAAGCAGGCTCTCCTCCCGTAGCTCCTTCCACAGACCCTCCGACTGCTCCACCTGAAGACCACCCTGTAGCACCACCACAGGCCCCAACTGCCCCTCCACTTATTCCTGACCCTGTGCTCCCACCTATCGATCCTTGGTGGAAGAGGTTTGAGAGAGGTGGCGTGCTGGAGCGAAATGGCTGTTGGTGCTGTGGTTGTGGGTGTAGCTGGGCCGTACTAGATGAGGGTGAACCAGAGGAAGAGAAAGGTCCGAAGGGGAAGGCAGAGGCCCCTCCTCCACTGGACCCAGCCCCACTTGGTCCACGCTGGCCTCCGCTACCTGAGGCCTGTTGGCTAGAGCCAGCTGCACCTGTACCTGACGTCATATGCAGGGCCCTAAAAGAGGCCAGCAATGGCATGTCCACCCCACTGTGCAGTTTAGAGGGTGTGCTAGAGGGAGAGTCACCAGCAGAGCCGGGTGCTGTGGATGAAGGAACAAATGTGTGGAACTTCTTAAGCCTGCCTGGAGGGTCCTTTAGGGACCCCAGAAGAGAAACCGGAGGCCTGAAGAGAGTTGGTGGAAGGTGGGGATGGTGTGTCAAGGCAATGGCTACTGAGGTGGTGGCGGCTGCTGCCTGGAGAGGGGCCTGGATGAGTGGGGCCCAGATGACAGGAGTGGGCGAGGGAGGTGTCTGTGGTGGGACGTTCTGCAAGAGGTGGGCACAGTGGGCCATGTCCCTGTCATGCTGCACAATCTGCTGGATGATCTCATTCTCCTGGTAGTTCAGTACACCAGAGCTGAGGTCGTGTTGTACCTTGTGCTGCAGGATGGAGTTCTTCTTACCTGTAAAAGCAAACGCATACACAAACACACAGTGAGTGACAGGTGAGAGAAGAAGGAGATAACAGGAGAATGAATATGAATCTTGTAGGCAGCTAGAACCAGGTTGACATTTGGGTGTACTCGAGTGACCACATTATTTTTCCAACAACCCTTTCCAATAGAAGAAGCTGGCACAGGAACAGCAATGAAGAGAGAGGGAATACAGAAAAAAAATGTGTACCTAAAAATCACAAGTGGTATAAAGGGAGGAGAAGAGATTTAAGAAAGAGACAGGGGGATGGAGCAGAAGGGGGAAGACAAAGCATAAAAGAGCACGGAATAAGAGAAACAACAAAAGATAGGTGGGAGATAACTACCCGCAGACAGAAGCTCAGGATGACAGCCTAAGGTGTAGGCGGTGTATGTTTGACTAGCTCTTACTGTGATTCCCTAGGTAACAGGGACAGAACATAAAGCAAACACTGTATCACAAGATGCAGGTTCAGCCTGTGATAGAGTGTGAGAAGCACTGAGATAATGGGTCAAGCCCACTTTTTGGTGCCATATTTTCTTTCCTGTTATTTGCTGTTCGTATAAAAGGGAAGCATCTTAAAAAATCAGGGACAAACTTGAAGTCTTATTGCTCTACAATGCCACCTCACAACACAGAAAGAACGTGACAAAACTTAAGATTCAATGGACTTATTTATAATTTTCTTTTTACAAATGCTTGCCCCTGGTTGTTTTTCTTCACTTTCCACCCTAGGATCACATGTACTCTGAATTCCCTGTGAGCCGAACACAAGGTCAAAGAGACGAGGTGGAGTTGCGTCACAATGACAGCCATACTAACTGCTGACCCAACCTCCTAGAGAAATGGGTGCAACTCTGACCGCAAAGTCCATTAGTCATTGTTGAATGGTCACACTAGCAATGACAGGGTTAATTCACATGACTGCCATTTTCAATTTGGTGCTAACAAAGGCTGTGAAACCCGAAGATATTGTAAATGCAATTAAGCCCAGATCAATCTCTCCATTTTCTGGTATGATTGGTGGCAGATTAGTGGAGATGTTGCATTGAGGTATTGTATCTAAATCAAGCTCGACCCTGGCACCACCTGGCCCTCTATCACCTGCACACCTCCAATCAGATTGCGCAAAGTCCATCAAGACAGTAATTAATTTGTGGATCATTGCTGTGTGAGTGACTTAATTAGGGAAGAGGGGTGTACATGAGCACCGAGCCCAGGAGGAAGGACGTACGCAAGAGACCATCTCACAGAAACATCACTATCAGCCCACCACATCTTTTCAAAGCAGCCATTTTCTACAAAGAGACCCCCTAAAGCAATTTCTCTATCTTCCATTCTAAACATAGCTGAGGATAAAACAGAGCATGCAGCGATGGCTGAGTGATGATACCGGCGTGCCTTTCATTGTGAATTTTTCATCTACTCAGGCTGAGCCTGGGAACAGCGATGGATATGGAAAGAATATCAATTGTATGCGAAAGAGAAGTCACGCAGGGATTTCAAAACCAGAGCTCTATCTGCATGTTTATATGCAGATGACTTTGAAAGTAATTTCAGTCATCAGTGCAGACGTTTTTTATAGCCCTAAAAGTTTTGTCCGTGGCTCTGGTTTGAAATACTTTGCTGTTCCTATCAGTGTCAGTGAGTAAAACTGAGACAGAGATACATTCTCTCCTAACAAAGCAATGAAGTGAACTCAATGATATGCTGACTGGGTAAGACAAGATTAATCACAAGGTAAAACAAGGTTAAGTTTCCACTATAGCTCATTTCTGACACCAACTGAGGATTTCCTGATGAATGTTTGCGAAAACAGTCTGCAGCATCTTGATTACTGTAATAAAAAACCTTCAAGATTTCCCTCTGAAATGGTCTAAATGTTATTTTCTTACCAATACGGTCCAGCCTGTCCAGGGCAACAGTCTCGAAGGCCCTTCTCATCATAGGATACTCCTCCAGCACCTCATTGAAGTTGTCCACAGACAGTGAGTACAGGCGACAGTATGTGTCCGCTCGTACGCTGGCTGTCCTTCTGCCCCGAGTCAGCAAACAAATCTCTGCAACAAAACACAGCACACAAGAGATGATAATGTAGTGGAGTTAAACCCAGAGGCTCACCTGTCTTTGAGTTAGACTGAAATTCAAACACCAGTCTTGCTATAGATTTCATCTGTAATTTAAGCGTACCTCTTTCCCCCAGAATATACTGCATGCCAAGTGATAAAGTAAAACACAATACACTTTCTAGGCAAAACACAAGCTTATGAGTTGTTTTGTTTTATTTTTCAGCATTAAAACTACAACTTTACTGTAATCCATGGGTGCAGCCTTTAATGCCATGTTCAGAGCTTAGAGGTCTGACAGCCCTCATCTGCCATGCCCGCTCAGGAAAATAATGCTCCATTAAACAAGCTGCACTGCTGTAGACCTCTGGCACAGAGATGGTGTGTGTGGGTGCAAGTGTGTCTGTACTCTATGCAGATGCGGCATGCACTATTCAAGTGGGGTGAGTGCCAGTGTCTGCACAGCGTGTGTGTTTTGCACGTACAGTACAAAAATGTATGTCAAAGTATAATATTGGTGTGTAGGCATACCAGTGTTTTATTCATGAAAGCAAGGCAGTATGGGTGAGTATGGCAGGGTGAAAATACAGGCTATATATTCTATATATACAAATGTATATGAACACACTTAGATGAATTCACTGTATACATTTATAACATGCTATATATTATATGTATGTGTTTATTTTCATGGACTGGGGTTAGGGGACTTTGAGGTATGTACAGTATGTGTTAGTGTGCCATGTATTTGTACACATTCCCTGATGTCTTTCCTCTTTAGCTTTCATCTCATCTTCTGCCCTCCCTTCCTGTGTTTGCTATCACACTCACTCTTTCTCAGAAACCCATTTCCAGCTCATCTACACACACATGCTCTCAATTCTCTCAGAGAATGCACTTTCCTACTTCCCCCCCTGTAGCCTACATCAAATCAAATTTTTAAAGAATTCTTCATCCAAGTTATCTCAGGAAATCTCATGCATAGTTTGAGTCTCTCCACTGTCCCATTTCCCCATTTGGATATTGCACATATATAAAGTGTTGGTGTTTGTGGTTTTTGTATTTACATTTCCCTGACCTGCAGCCACATACACAGCAAGAGCGACTGCTGTAAATATCGATGGTGAGTCCGGAAGCTGTCAAGGGCCCGAGTAGGAAGGTGATTTTTTTTTTCCTTTTTTTAAAATATTGTAAGTTGGCCCTCTCTTGCATTGAACATTAAAGTCTTCAAAGTAACTATTAAACCAATCTGATCTCATCCCTGCTCACCACAGTTTGACAGTGGTACAGAGGACCCAGCCTTTTGCATCATATCTTGACACAGAAGGGGTTGGCTGATCTTGAGCCAGAAGGTGTTAGTGGTAAGTCACATACAAGAGGTCGGCAGTTAGGTTTAGGCAACAAAACAGCTTGCCCAGGGTTAGGAAAAGAAACTCAATGATAACACTCACATAACTTATAATTGTGGCAGCTACAGTACATATACCACCTTCCGACTTTGTGTTTAACTCTTATGGTTTGGGTCTCAGCCCATTTTTTGTATTTTTAAAACTGCATGTTGTTGTATCAAAAATAAATATTATTTCTTCCTGCCACTTATTTAATTTGGTTGCTTTCTTCTCAAAAGTTACAATGAAAGAAGGCTTGCTGCAAAAAGTTCCTTTGTCCTGTGCTCCCTGTAATTTGTGATATATTGCGTGGATTTCAATTTTTTTTTCAACCTTTTAGCAAGGACCAAGTGTTCCTTTAGCAAATGGATGATAAGTTAACAGCATACTGTTTATTAAGCCCAAACAAAAAAGTAGCACTCAAAAGAGAACAGAAAAAATGTACTGCTAAACTAACAAACAAAATTCACTCTTAATCTTAACCTGATGATCACAAATAAATAAAGAAATAAATACATAAACACAATAAAAAAACAAACATCTCTATTTGAAGTTACAATAAGGCCTGAAGTCTCCTGTAGGTTTGATTCTTGGATTAAGGCCAATATTTTTTGAAGATAAATTGATACTCAACCAATATGCATTATATTCATACTGAAGGCGATGGTTACAGAAACATCTGAGCGTTGGTTGATTATTATAAATCTCGATGATGAAATGAAATGAGACATGACCCCTTGATTTTCAGCCATAGGTTGACATAAAGATTTCTGTTTTGTTGATTTTTACTGAATATAAGTGGTTGTGTGAAACATCAAGATGACTGTTGGATGTCAACAAGAGCGTACATGCTTGTGTGGTCACTTTGCAGCAGCCTGGTGCTGTTTGTGTAAGACTTGATCAAAGTAGCCAACTGCAGTTTGACAGAGCGCCACATTCACATCAGGAACTGCAGATGGAAAACTTTCTGTAAAGGATATCCATATCAGGCAGCTGCATGAGGAGATAATTAACTGAGCGGGAAAGCCTTTCAGTTAATTAGCCACAGCATGCTAGCTGTTGTTGATGACAGATGCTGGTAAACACCAGATATTTCATCTTCACTTTGCCTCCCTGGCATTGCTGATATACTGTAAATTAAAAGACAAATATGTGTCATTCAATCAGAACAGGTAGAAGACGGTGAAAAGAGAAGTTAACACATTACTTTTAAAAAAAGTGTAAAAAAAAAAGTGATTTTGGAGGCATCTTTAAGGGGGCGCCAGGTGCAATGCATGGTTCACCTACTCTGAGCAGGCGGATGGCACAAAATTCTGTCAAGGTTAACTCCAAAATTGCAGTCTGCTGCTCGATTGCCAGTGACACTCCCCCCTATACTGCCCTTCTCCTCCCACTGGCAGGGTACCAAAAAAAAAAATCCTTAGAGAGAAAAAACACTGCACCATGAAATGCCACCACTACACTTACACATGTTATGACTTAACTGGCAAATAATAAACAGATTTTTGACCTCAGGTTGCAGTTAAGTGATATCTTAGAATATATTCTCTGTGGACAAAAAATATTAACACCTGTACTATGAAAAGCAATAGCAAAAATATTCCCTTTGTGACAGTCTGGCATGTTGTCCACCCCATTTACATATATGGAGGGACTGCAAAAACACCTTCTTATACCACCACTGATAAATATGGCCTTAAAAATGGTCTTGGAGCCGAGTGAACACAAAACAATGTCAACACTACACAGTTCACACACACATAGCATTCACAACACAGCGACTGTAATGGATTACTTTCGATTGTACAGGTCTTTTCATTTTTCTGGTCACTGAGTGTAAAGTGGTTATGATTGTGTTTGATGGTTTGAAAAATGAGATACGGCAACAGATAAAGGGAGAATGCATGATTTGACATGACAGAGAATGAGGAATATGTACTCTAGTCTGTACGAAGCATGGGTGAATGGACAATGGTGAAGTTAGCAAGAGAGCTGTGTGAATGTGAGAGAGTAAAAATACCATGCTCTTCTGTCTGTGCATGTGTGTGTGTACACTGTGTGTTTGCACATGTCTTTTTGTGTGTGCACCCTAAGTGTGTGCTAGCAAGGCAGCCCTGGCTGTAGCTGTACTGGGGGTCCATTTCCCGCAGCACTGCTCCAGTAATCCCCTCTGGAGAGGAGCATCACAGCTCTGTATTAAATCCTCTTGTCCCGTGGCTTTCTGGATGAAGCCAACACTGCCAAGAAGAGGCGGTGAGCTGGAGTGAGCCCTCTGGCCTCATCTAACTGTCTTTGCAGCAAGCAAGCGAAGCCCAGACACTTAGCGGTGCCATCTGAACTACAAGTGCGGAGAAAAAAATCCATGGCAGGGTCTGGGTCTGGTGCAACCAGCTCTGAGCTGAACAATAAGAGATTAGCAGATGTCTTTGTGTGCTGAAAGGCTAAATGCAGGCGGCTGGCCTGAAACTCAACACTCCCCTGAATATTAGGACATGTAAAAGTAGCAGCTAGGTTCAATGTGAAGTCAAAATAAAGTGATGGCTGTTTTTGCTAAAAGTGGATACACTACAGAAGTAGAAAACATTAGAGTTGTAGTCTCCTGGTCAACTAGTTGATTATTTGGCCGATATGCTCTTGTCCGACCAAATTCTCATTAGTCGAATAATCGCCGTGTTACTTTCATAAGGAGAAAAGTGCTACATCAATAGCTTTCCAGGATTAATCCATTATTTCCTGCGGCGGGGGGACAGGCTAAATTACCTTTGAAAGTCCAACTTTCTGTTCCATTGTTACCAGAAAGTTGGACTCGCCCACCCTAAAGCTCAGCGTCGCGGTGACACAGACCCCCTGTCTGTTTCTGTATACTGACACCATTTCCCTTAGTGGAAACAAAGCTTGTATTTACTTGTATTTCACAGATAAGAAGCAATAAATTGTGAAGACAGTAAAGCCTCCACTAAAATAGCATTTTAAGTCGTGTGTGTGATCTATCCTTTAGGGATTTATACTTCGGGATTTATCCTGGCTTAATATGAGAAGAGGAAATCTCCGCTCGTTGCTAGGCTAATTTATACAGTGTAAAATGCCATTGGCTAGCGCTAATAACGTTAGCATGTTGTATTTGCTTGGAAAACGTGTTTAGAATAAGACAGTTGTTTTGTCGGTGAATGTTGTGAGCTGTAATGGAGCCAAACTGTGTGCCGTTACCTTTGTTACATGTTGCTGTTGTCCCTGGTTTCATATGAGAGGAGGAAAAGATCGCTAGACGCTAGGCTAATTTATACAATGTAAAAAGCCATAGACTTGTGCTAATAACGTTAGCATGTTGTATTTGTGGGGGAAATGTGTCCAGATACAGACAAGTGTGTGTCTGTCAGTTCTGCGATTTATAGTGAAGCCAATTTGCGTACTTGATGTTTGAAATGGTCTCTATTAAGCCATGTTTAATGTGTGTTTTGAATCAACTATATAAAGTTCGATTTGAACTAAACTTTACAGCACTTAACACAGTTCTCCACCGCCGACTAGTGTTTTGGAGGTGTAACTGCAGAGTGACACAGACACACCACCGCAGAAGTAAAAATATTGGCAGATTTTTTTTTTTTT